AAATACCGCGAGACAAACGTATACTACAGCACACTTTTATTCGTTCAGCCATTCCTCTTCCATTCCACCATCCATCTGGCTCGTCAGACCCGGCACCAGTTCATCAATCTGCGAAACGTTCACAGTGCCGGCACCACGACCCTTCAGCGCCCGTGTCAATGCATCCTGTACAGTGGCATGCTCCTTGATGGGCTCACGCCGCCGCTTACGTGTTGCGCGTGACCCCTCAAGCCTTTCAATTTCTTCCTTGGTGCGTGCCTTGCCCAGGCCCCAGTCCTCCTGGTAGAGCGCCTCACCCACCTTCTGGCGACGCAGCCGCTCCTCGTTGTCGAGAACCAAGTATGGGTCAAGGTCCGTGCCGTCCTCCAGAGAGGGGTCCTGCAGCACAATGAATTCCCACGGCAGAGCGAGGCGCCTCTCACTGTCGTAAAGCGCCTCGGTGAGCGATGCCTGCATCTCATCCACGCATGGAGGTGCAGACTCTGGCGGCCGCGGTGGTGGGTCCTCGTTGACATCAGCGAGGTCGAACTCATTGCGGATACCTAAGATGTTGGGATCCTGCGTCATAAGCTTTTGATAGTACGCCGTCATCTCCTGCATTGGCATCTCCAGCTGCGTCGGCAGACCAAGTTGGGCAGGACCACCCGTGTGCTGCGACGCAGTCTCCGATTCGCCGCGCTCCAGCTTCACGAGGATCTTCACCTCTTCACGACGCACGCTCTCTCGTACTGTTTCCGGGTCAATGGGCTTTGTGTTGGGGAGTCCGAGAATGTGAAGCTGCTGCTGGGGAGAAAGCCGCGCCAGGTCAAGGTTCTCCTCTGTCAGCGTGGTTTTCTCCATCGCACAGTGGCGCTCAAGGAAACGACGCCACTTTTCGCAGCGCTCTGGCGTCGCGGGAGCGGAGACTTTCGCCTCTGCCACGAGCTCGTAGTACGTCGCTGAGAGTGCACGCACATCCGCGCTCAAGTCTTCATCCGTTGGGCGCAAACACGACTGATTGAACGATGGAGGGAGGGAGCTCTCGCTCCGCGTGTACTCATCTATGTTCTGTAGAACAGCAGTCTGCGTTGCGGCGAACTCGTCGAGGCGCTTTGCGATGGTTCCAGCCGTGAGACGGACGAAGCCGCACACCTCGTCCGGGGATCGCGGTATATTGAACATGTAACACGCCACAAGGAGGGCGGCGACGCATACACCCATAGGACGCCGGCCGCAGGCAATCCAGTCGTCCCGCATGGCGCGCAGCACCTTCAGCGCACACACCACCACCGGCCCTGTCAACGGGCCCAAGTCCATTTGCTCTGCGAAGCGGTGCACCATGCATGACGGGTCGATCACCGGCACCTCTGTGTGCGTCGCCTCACAAATTTGCCGCATGTACGACAGGATCTCGTACGGGCTCTCCCCCGTCACCTCTGCAAAGTCATAGATCATGTGAGAGGTCCTTTCGCGTCGGCAGACTGCGTAGAGGGCAGCACACAAGATGGAGGGCCGTGCGCCTGACACCGCGTTGAGTCCCACCGCCAACTTGTACACCGCCACCGCCATCTCAATCATATCGTCGCTGATGTCCAGCTGTCGCGCAATCGACACCATGCCGCGCCGCGCTGCCTCAACAGAGGGACGTGCCGACGGCAGCCTCGCCCCAATGGCACCCCGTGTGGGCCGCAGATGACCGAGTGTACGCAGGCTTCGGCTGTTCGCTTTCTCCCCGCGGGCAAACACCGGATCGAGCTCAAACTGCTGGTCTTGCACAATGTCGCCGCAGAGCGTGCATGTGATGGTGCCACTCGTCCGATCAGCGTACTGCGCTGAGGCGGGATGTGTGCACGCTGGCATTGGCTGCTTCTGCTGCCGTCAATGGTAAGTATAATAGAGATCAGGAGCCTTATGTCTTAGTCTTACGAGGCTGGACCTCTCGTCACTTTCGCCCTTCAGAGCCAGAGAATAAGCGGAGCAAGGAGGACAACATACAAAAAAAAAGCGCTCAGTAAAACAAAGAAAAACGATGACAAGAGCTACCATTCGAAACAGTCGTCACCAAGACAAACAAAAGAACGTATGCTTGCGCATGGCGAGTCATACTACCTCTTCGCTTCAACAACGACGTCAACGCAACAACAAGAAAATCGGCTCGGTCTAGTACAAATATGAGAAACTCATCTCGACGAGACTCCGCCCGGCGCAATAAAGGCCTGAAACACAAACCGGTATCGCCCCCTCAACTCACGCTCCACAACGCGCTGCGCTCGGTAGCAAATTGCCTCCAACTTTGAATAGAAGGTGAACATGTAAGCAGGCCTGTCAAAGAAAATCTCTGTGATGACCTCCGTCGTACCAGAGTCCTTACGCGTCCAGCCGATGATGCGGTGTCGCATCTCATGCGGTACTTCGTGCGGCAAAACCTCAAAGAAGCACTGTCGCAGCAGCTCCGTCACACGATCAACAGGAGTGGCGTCTGTCGCCTCATTGCGAAAACACTCCCAGTCCCCTGGCACAGCATACCTGCAGAGGAGGTCCTTTAGCTCCACGAGGCCGCTGCCTCCCTTGACACTTGTCTCATTAACTTCTGCAATAGGCAAGCACATGGACTCGAAGTCTGTGCGCATCGAGAAATACAGTTCACGGTGCTTGGGTGTCTGCACTTTGTCCATCATGGTGATAGCTAGCACAACCGGCATCTTGCGCAGCGAGGCACGACGCACTACCTCACGGGCAATTGTCTTCTGTTCGGGCTCAACAAAACCGAGTCCGGCCGGCAGAGTGAGCACCACGAGGTCCGTCACCATCAGCGCATCCCACGCACGCGCGGAAGGCGCGGCATGCCGTCGACGGTCTTTCTCACTGTTGATAATAATGATGCCAGGGGTGTCGTGAAGCACCAACTGCGTGTTGTGCACCGTCGCCACGCCCCTGATCCAGTCCTTCGTGCTGCCGGAGCGATTGCTCACGGCACCTACATGACTTAGTGAGAGAGCGTTCAGCAAGGACGTCTTGCCGGAGTTCTGCGGGCCGAGCAGGGCGACCTTAAGTTTGTGTGCGTCGGACGGCTGCGCCACGCTGCGGTGGGCCACAGGCGGCTCCTGCAGGCCCACCCACCGCGCCCCGTCCCGCAGCGGGAAAGCCTCCTCCACCGGTGTGTAGCGGCGCTCCTTGTAGATGCGGGTGAAGCGCTGCGCCACAGCGTCCACTTTCGTCCCCTCGTGCTCCGACAGCACCGCGGCGATGCGCTGCTCCCACCGGCGCCGGCCGTGGAGCGAGTGCCGCCGCGCCAAACTGCACACGAACATGACACGCGCAGTTAAA